GACTCTGGGGTGGACGCTGGAAAGGAGAGATGAGCAGCTATGGACATGTGCCGCCTGCTATGATTCTAGCTCTGGATCCAAGTAAATCCAAGTAAATAAAAGCTGTTGGGCCAAAAAAAGAAATTTGATAAAAATTGCAAAACGGACTGACAAAATGCAGATTTCTTTGATTTCAATATTTCGACTAGCGCCCAATTTCACCACGATGCCTCAAGTTTGGGAGGCGGGCTGTCCACCATGCCTGTCAGGCAGAGGTGGGTCATGCCCGCTAAATCAGCGTCTGCGAGTAACAAACCCGTTTGTCCCAACTCTACTCTGCCGTAAGCTGAGAAAACACTTTTGTTCATTTTTGGTGCTTAATTTTTTAATTTGTTAAATCAAAAGCCGGATCAGTAACCCTACTTGTGTGAAACCATCAAAGTGAAACTGTGACTAGTTTCTGAATAAATTAGAATTCAAATTTCAGATGAATGCAGTTTGTAACCATTTCGCCCACAGCCGTGACTCAAGTTGTCGCAGGCCGAATGCAATTTCAGCAGACAAACTCAGTCGTTATTTTACGTATGGTTCTATTAAACGATTCCTACAGCTATTTTCGGCAATACTTTGCTACTCATGAATGTATGTGTGTCAAGACAGGAAGCTTCACAGCTCGTTTCAATATTAGTCAGCTTTTTAAAAAGAACTTTGCATGTATAGGCAAGTCCCTCTGTGCAAAACTACAAGTCAGAGAATAACATTATTTTCCAGCACGAAAACGGATTTACCTCCTCACACCTTCACCAACATATTAAACACACTTTTTTAAGTACTTGTCGGCAGCTAGGTATACATGAGTGTAGTTGTGTCCATTACCATGGTAACATATAAACAAACAACTCACCCTGGGTCGGCACAGTGGGCGGGGCAGCCAACCTGTTGGCGTTGACGATGGTCATCCCGGCGTACTGACCACCCTGCAGGACAATAGCTCCCACTGCGTTGCTCTTCAACCCTTGCTGCTGCTGCTGCTGCTGCTGCTGTTGTTGTAACTGCTGCTGTTGCAACTGCTGTTGTGGCTGTAAGGGGGCGGGATGGATGCTCGTCACCGTAGCCTTAGCTCCGCCCCCAGCTGCCACAGGGGACGGTGGGAGGGGCTTCGACGCGATGGGCACAGGCGTAGAGATGGGCTTGCTGGTGGTGGCGAAGGTCGGGCTGACGGAGTCCTGGGGGGGCGCGCCGGCGCTGTTCACCATCAGCTGCGGGAACATGGAGGCTTACGTCAAACAAGTAGGTCAAAGGTCACGGAAAACTCACCCAGCCCCATACCGGATGTTAATCGGCCAGCTTTGTTAACTTAATGACCAATCAGACAAATTTTGATTTTCAAAAAATAATAAAACAATGTTTTAAAGTCGGTGGCTTTGTGCCCCCCATTGACACATTTCAGATTCTTTAACCCTTTGAGTGAGCCCTGATTGGCTGAGGCCACCGTACCCCTCTGCCCGAGCTCCTCAGTGATATATCATTACCAACATTCATAAGATCGTCCGAATCACATTCCATATCCCGTTCACTGTAGTCCTCATCACTACCAGCATCTAATTCAGAAAGATTTTCAAAGTAATCAATAACGTCCTGCGTAGTAAACAGGGTTTTCAGTGCACGCTGTGTCCCACATGGGTCTGGTTGGGGATATCATCTTGCTCACCGCTGTACCGATGGCTCTAGGCGTCAGGGCAGTTTTACGTGCCACCAATGTACCAGTGTAAGATCTAGCTCACCGCTGTACCGGTGGCTCTAGGCATAAGGGCAGTTTTACATGCCACCAATGTACCAGTGTAAGATCTAGCTCACCGCTGTACCGGTGGCTCTAGGCATAAGGGCAGTTTTACGTGCCACCAATGTACCAGTGGCTAGACTTCAAAGGGTTCAGAAGCAGGCTTCCAACCCTGCCTGTCAGAGGCCAACTCAGGTTGAGGGGGACATAACATCCTAGAAGAAAGACCGAAATACTCGAAGGCGAAAAAAAAGAAATGTGAGGGGTACTGACAAAATTTGTTACTTCTCGCAATCCGCAAATCGAGATATTTGCCAAAAATTAATAGTACGTCAAATTTGTAGATTTTCTATTGATGCCATATTCTTTAAGTATGACACATGCCTTTAATTATTTCATACTTAAAAATTGCAAAACCTTCACCTGTTAGCATGATGTATCTATTTCCATCGGGCTCGAATCTGAGAAACAACTCATATACTCACACTTCACAAATTTTTCTACCCCCCCCCCCCCTCCCCGGCCATTCCAACTTCGGCCTACTGCGTGCGAAAGTGAAATAATGCCCAACCACTACACCACAGACGCTAGTGTAAATTCTGAGAACCAAATTTTCCAAAGCCATGCTTCCGAGACAGCTGTCCTGACATGTAAAAAAACTGGCCAATTAACAAGTCAGAATCAAAATTACAAAAGAACGGAACCTTGCCGCAAAGGTCTTGAAATATTTTAGGACTGTTTCGTTAATGAGAACAGAAATGATCATACCACCAAGACAGAATGACGATACACACACTTTCTCATGAATCACTTAGACAGAATGACGATACACACACTTTCTCAAGAATACACTTATGTAGAAGTAAAATTGGAGGGAAAAAAAAGAAAATGTAAATTCTTTCCTTCCTAAGGTTTTTACACCCCCATCAACACAATTTAGATAATTTAGAAGGCAGACAGCTCTAGCTTCCTGATCTGAGCTACCATGGCCGAGTGCGACATATCATCCCAGCACACAGACAGAGACACTAAAATAAGATTTTAAAAAAGAAAAAACCCCAAAACTTTCCCCACCCAGGCATCAACTCTCGTCTTCTATGTACGACCTTGAACAGCCTAACCACTACACCACAGACACTCTGGTGAAAAACAAAGCTTGTCAAGCCAAACGGATCCACACAGAGGAAGTCTTTTACAAGCTCCTTCGCACTCGACATTTTAAAAATTAATTTTAGTAGAGGTTTTACAGGCGCTCGCAACTGCATAAGGTCATATAAGCGCCAGAAGATTAGAGCTGTTACAAGAGAGTAACAAACATAAAAAAGAAAAAGGGGAGATAAGGACGATAGATGTTTGATAGGAAAGAAGAAGCAAATCACACCAGAGCACCCGCCAACCACCCACGCACTCCACAACAATCTTTTTGTTTATATACAGTACCACACGGATATCTTGAATTTGTCGGTACCGGCCTCAGCAGTTTGAGGGATGCGTTGTTCGAGGGATATCTTACAGAGATCAAGAAAAAAGACGGTTCTGCAGGCACACTTCGAAAGATGTGTGATTTTGGGTCTTATGCCTTCGACCCACTCGTGTATACCGCATTCTTGACTTTTGACCGAGGTTCCTACAAATCACTGTGCCACATTTTATGTCAAGCTTTCGTACAAATTTTACAGCATTTACAACACAAATAGGTCATATAAGTAATGCAGGGTGGCCGTTTTGGACATCTCGACTGTTGATACTCTGCCAGGCTCACACGAGAGAAGAGCACTGGTGTGACATCTCACACACACACACTCTCTCTCACCTGTGTGATCCCCACACCACACACATACACATGCACCCACACACCCATGCACGCACACACAAACACACACACACCTGCATGACCACACACACACACACACACACACACACACCTGCATGATCCCACATACAAACACACCCCCACACACACACCTGCATGCCCCCGCCAGCAATGAGCTGCGCAGCTGTGCTGGTTGACGTGGTCCACGTGATGAACGGGCCTTGCTGATGCTGATGCTGATGCTGCTGCTGCTGTTGTTGTTGCTGCTGTGGCTGCGATGGCGGCCGGCCGTTGCTGTGGTAGTTGTTGATGCTGCTGCTGGACTGCTGGAGGGAGGGGGGGGGGAGGGTAGAACACATTAGGGCTCGTTTGTGTTTCTTTTTGTTGTTTAAAAACAAAGGCGAACTTTGACATTTTATTGCATATTTTGGGGGGGATTTAAAAAATTATTTTTTTTAATTAGGTGCTTTTTACACCCCCATTGACACAATTTAGATCATTTGGGAGATGAGCGTCCGACCCCACTTATTACAGATAACCCGGGCTGAGAGGGACACAACATCCCTGCAGAAAAGCCGAAAAATATAAATGATAAAGATTCCTCAAAGTATGGAGATGCTCGTCCACCCAATAAGAGCCACTTACAGGCAGGGAAAAATAAGAACATACAGAAATGGCAGAGGGAAAGAAATGAAGTAGGACCTACCAGTGGCGTCCTCAAACCACCCGTGTTTATTTCAGCTGTAAAACTTATATCATGGTAACAACAGTCACACTTAGCTGAAAACAATGAAATTGAAGAAACTGGCATTTTCCTACCAGTTCGGCAGTTTTTTTCCAATTGTTTTTTAGCTCAACACCATTTTTGTCTAAATCAGAAAACATTTCTGTTTGGATTTTACTGGAAAAAATGTTGATTTAAGGCACAAAAATGAAAGTTTTCAGTTTCCATGACTAACAAGCTATGGAAATATCCGAACTTTGGTGGCCATTTTCTCGCTAATTCTACCGCTGCAACGAGGTGACCCCACCTCCTTCAATCTCAAATATCTCGACTTCTATTTAAGATTGATGGATATTTTTTCCCCGATAGAAAGACAACTGAACAAGATTAAAGATGACACCAATAACTCCACATGTCCAAAAATTGACGAGCGCCTGATTCCACTCCACCGCATCTTGACACATTTTACTCAAAAAACAACATTTCTCAAATTTATTCGGTAAAAAGAGTGGAATCGGTAAAAAGAGTGGAGAACTTTCTCGAAACTGTAGAAAAAACCAACTGATATTACGTCATGCTTTGTCACAAAACCACCGACACATACACGTCGACTCCCCACCTGAGCTCTGACCCCGCGGGCACGGGACATTTTGCCCATGACGGGGCCGTCGTGCTGCCGTCCCAGCGTGGTGGTGGTGTCGCTGGACATGACAATCTGCTGGCTGTCGTCCTGGGTCACCGTGATGTTGTGGATCTTCACACCGCCCACCTTCTCCACCTGCGGGACCACATGGGAAACCGTCGAACAGTTTTGTTTTGGTAAGAGTTTTATGGAATAACATCAAGAAGCAAGCCCAGGATAGAGAAAAGTGGAGGGTGTTTGTCCATGGCCTATACCCTGGTGCAGGGTGAGAAAGGCAATGATGATGATGATGATGATGATGAAGAGTTTTATGACACTTGCAGCACAATTAGGATGGTAATATAGATGTCAACGGTAGAATGACTAATCTAAGATGGCCACCTACGAGGGGTAATGAGATTCAAGTTTTTGAAAGAGTTTTACAGCATTTGCAACACAATTAAGTCATATAAGTGCTGAAGATGAGGTATTATTAGAGTTCAATTGCAGTTTTACGGCACTAGCAACACAATTATATCATACAAATACTGAAGATGTGAGGTATTACTAGAGTTCAGTTTTAGCTTTAGTAAGAGTTTCATGACACTTGCAAAACAAATTTTATCCATTCTCAATTTGGCACAGCGGTTCCTACAAATCCTTGTGCCATGGATTAAATTATAGTTTTAGTTTCAGTACGCATTTCAGGACACATAAAACCCATACAGGTCATTTCAGTGCAAAAGATTTTATAAAGAGGAGTTCTAAAATCTTTTCAACAAACCTGAAAGACTTCTCCTTTGGGTTGTAACCCCGCCCCTGTGCTAGAGGGGCGGGGCACACTGGTGTCTAGCCCCGCCCCCACGGCCTCTCTGACAGCCGATCGGAGGGACGGCAAGCTGGAATGTGTGGCCTGCTGCTGGAAAAGCTGCTGCTGCTGCTGCTCCCCACTGTTGCTGTTGCCACCACTGCTGCGGCTGAGGATGCTGTACCCACCAAAACTGTTGCTGCTTGAGATGTTGTTATTGTTATTATTGTTGTTGTTGTTGTTGTTGTTGTTGTGGTGGTGGTGGTGGTTGTTGTTCCCACTAGACGTTGGTTTGATCGGGGTAGGCTGCTGAATCACACCCGGCTGGACCTGGCACAAAAACAATGTAGGGGTTGTTTTGTTTTGTTTTTTTTGGTAGAGGGAAGAGAAGCACATTGACACAACAATGGCCTTCTACCACACTGGGTAAAAACAAGTTGGGTTTTTTGGGGGTTTTTTAAGTAGAGGTTTTACGGCGCTCCCAACTTCATAAGATGATATGAGCGCCAGAAGATTAGAGGTGTTACAAGAGAGTAACAAACATAAAAAAGAAGAAGGGGAGATAAGGACGATAGATGTTTGATTGGAAAGAAGAAGCAAAAGAAGAACCAAACCACACCAGAGCACCCGCCAACCACCCACAGGGTAAAAACAAGATAATCAGACAGAGTTGACCATGAGGAAGAAAAAAAGTAGGATCTACCAATAGCACCCTCCAGGCACCCGCTTAGATAATCCGATACATAGTAAACGTTTTTTAGTAAGAGTTTTACAACATTTACAACACAATATAGGCCATACACAAGCCAAAGACTTAAAAGTGTGATTGATTGGGTAGATGTTTTACGGCACTATCGACACAATTACTTAAAAGTGTAGGTAGAGTGTAGCATACAAAAAAAAAGGAGGAGAGATAAAGACAAATAGAGATTTTGTATCCCTCTTACTTGCTGAAATTTTCTACCACTTAGCCCGGATTAGCCCCGACAGGCTGGGTCAAAAGCCTGTCTCCTAAATTATCTAAATTATGTCGATAGAGGCGTAAAAACACCCACGTAAAAACAAAACCCCGTCCTAAACCAAACTGACCTGCTTCATGACGGGGGAAAATCTCTGCTGGGGGAAGGCCTTGTTCTCGATGAGGCCCTCCTCCTCCACGTCGCTCTCTGTGGCTGAGTCAGAGACCTGCTCCTGGCAGTTCAGGTCGATGCTGGTCGGCTTGTTGTCTTCCTCTGGTGAAACGAGTCACATGTCGCATGTTACTTACAACATCACATGTCGCATGTCACTTCAACATCACACATCACAAATCACTTAAACAGTACATTGCATATATCACTAATCATGTTTAAATAAGAGTTTTACAGCACTTGCAACACAAGAAGATCAAATAATTTTAAAAGATTAGAGGTGTTACAAAAGAGTAACAAACACAAAAAAGGAGGGGGAGAGATCAGAGAACGATAGATGTTTGATAGGAAAGAAGGAGTAAACCACACAAGAACACCCACCAACCACCCACACAAATCACTTTTACAGCACATGCCACAAATCATTTAAATACCGTTCAAACCACAAATCAGTTTTAGTGAGAGTTTCACAGCACTAGCAACACAAACGGTCAAATAACTGCCAAAGACTAAAGGTGTTATTAGAGAGTAACACACAAGGAAAAGGGTGAAGAAAGACAAGGATAATAGATGTTTGATAGGAAAGGAAAGATGGAGGAGAGATGTTGCTATTGTTACCGATCCAGTAGCATCTGAGCGTTAACTCTTCTCAATGATGCCATTCTGTAATAGCTGCATGTCTGTTTTAATTGTTGTCTTGAGGAGTAGAGGCAGTTAGATGTGTGGGGTAGCTTGGGAAGAAAACATCCCCTTAAATCAGTTAGTTTTCTACAGAAGAACAGATGCTGTTCCACTGTCTCTGAGGGGTAGTCACATAGTGGGCAGGCAGGAGAGATAAGGACAAAGCAATAAATGTTTGATAGGGAAGAAGGAGCAAACCACAGCAGAGCACCCGCCCACCGCCCATCGGTCCCGACTTACCGTCTTCACAGATGACCATCTTGGAGTCGTCGTCGCTGTCCTCTTCCTCATTCTTCCCGCTGGACACTCGCCGCGACAACGGCAGACCGCTCAGTTTCTGCGACGCTGCGGTGGTGGTGGTGGTGGCTGAGGCTTGCGATGACGCCACCTGCTGTTGCTGCTGCGAGGATGATGGTGGCGGGGGCGGTAGAGAAGGCACACGCGGCAGGCCAGAGTGAGGTAGGGACGAGTCTGTTCGCTTTTCCTGAAGCTTTAGACTCATAGCCTGACGGATTGGATAGAAATATATGACAATGGAATAGAAATGTGACAATATACGGAACAGAAATATGAAATTAAGATTGAATAGAAATCCGTTCGCAAATCCGCTCACAGAATAAAAAAATGAAATTAAGATTGAATATAAATCAGTTCGCAAATCCGCTCACGGAACGAAAAAAATGAAATTAAGATTGAATAGAAATTCGTTCGCAAATCCACTCTTCAAGTTCATAATTCTTTTTCACCATTGGCAAATATGCGAAGAGTAATACAAGGGAGCAACAAAAATTTATGAAGAATACACAAAAATGTCATTCCATACTCAGACCTTAAACACTTTGCCATCATATTTTGGGGAAAATCTAAAGAAACTGGGTGGTAAACAATTGGTGAGATGAGACGGCAAAGTGGTAAAACAGTGCTCACTACGCCTTTCACGAGCAGGTTGACAGCTACCAAAGTGTAATACCACTTTCAGAGACAGCCTCCAAGCTCCCTTGGAAAAGAAGCGAGACCATTTAGGAACGGCCTCCAACCTCCCACAACTCACCGAGGGCACAAAAGGAACAAACGCACTGCTGGCCTCGTCGTCCCGAGGTACGGCCGACAGACTGTGAGGCCGTTGCCGCGGCAACGTGACAGCCTCTTCAAACGGCGAGTCGTCCAAGACCGTCTGCTTCCCCAGGTGGCGGGAGCCCGGGGCCGAGTCCAGCCCGCCCACGCTCCGCTCTGTCGGGGTCATAGGCTCCCCGGAGATTCTGTTCACAGGGGGAACAGAGTACACAGTTCAGCTGGGAGGGGGG